TTCTCCCTTCAGCGAAAGGCGTCCGCTGATAAACCTCTCACCCTTTCCGCCCGTCTGGTGGTAAGCGATATGCGCCTCCAGTTCCACGACGCTTGTTACATTGCGTCTCCCACTTCACCAAGGGCAGTTCTCAACTAATTCTAGTTCCATCGTGCTTTCCCCGTATCCCATCCTCATCGCCATGTGCAGGCCAGGAGCGGTCCGAGGCTTTCGGGGGCGCGTGGTGCGGGTTGTGGCCAGCAGCCCTGGCACATGGGTCGGGGAATGCAGGACGGTGGGCTAGAATTAGGCACGGACTCGTAGCGGTTGATTAAAGATTATTTTACTTACACAGTAGATGGTCGCGGTGCAGGCAGGAAAACTTGCTTGCGTTGCAGTTACAGATAGGAAAGAAGAGCGGACAAGGGTTCTAATCTCACAAACTCTAGCCCAATCCGGCTGAAGGCTCTAAAACCGTGAGCCCGTCGTGTCAACCGAAGAAAACAACTCGGAGAAGAGCTCTGGATACACTCACGCGAAGTTTGCTAGGCTCCGTGGAACTTGCGCGCAGGGAAGGCGTTCGTCGAGGGATCGCGCTCGGCAACGGGGAGAGGCCAGAGGTTGATCAGACCCCTGTAGCCTTCTTAAGGTACACGCTGGGTCCGTTAGGCTCCGCAGCGCTTAGAGATCTTCACGAGACGTGAAGTCCTCCTCCTCCAGATGGTTGTGGAGTCCTCCAACTTGGGCAGAAACCGCTCAAGCCTCTTATACGGCTAGCAAGCCAATCACTAGCCGCCACGTGGGAATAATTTAGAAGCAGCCAATAGTGGGACACAAATTTGCATGCGAGTGGCGGGAACTCCTTTGCACCGGGGTTTTCTCTTTGCAACTGAGAAATGCACCCTGCAAAGAAAGCTCCTCTTGGCGGGAAATAATTCTGCAGTGCCGAAGCACACACAAAATCACACCATTGGGTTGTGACACCTATTAAACCTTTTAAACATATGTATTTTTTTTATAACCATAAGCCCCTATTGTATTTCATCATCTGCTTGTTTTTATATCTCCAGGTGGTTTGGTATAAATCTTACCAGATTGGATGTGCAGTGGCTTTCTGTCCTCAGAAAAAATACAAGTACTATTACGTTTGCCACTACTGCCCTGCGTACGTATTATCTATGGATTTAATTGATGGCTGGCTTCCCTTAGTGCTTTCATGTATCAGTTTGACCCAGGATTTTTTAAATAATGCCTTCTAAGAGAAATTATAGTTAGAAGGGCAATTATATAATATTTAATGTGGAAATACATGTAGAATCATAGAATAATAAAAAATAGGATTGCATAGGACTGTGATAAATCATCTAGCCCATTGATTCATGATTCATCTAGCCTTGACACCTTTCAGAGGTGCTATGGGGTGCCAGGCAATGTTAGCACTGATAGATGTGCAAACATAATTCATAGGATAAACCCAGAGATTTCAAATCAAACTCCATAGCATCAAAAACATTCTGCCTTGCTGTGGGCTTTCTATTATTCTTTCATAGTAGAAAAAAAATCCAAGTAAAAACTTAAGAGCTTTTCTGAAGGGTGCCTCCAAGCTTACTAGGGTTGCCTTGAGTGCACAAAGAGGTAATTTGGCTCTAAAATGGCTGAGAAGTATGAATTTAGTCCAACACCCTGCTCAAGGCAAAACTCTCTCTGACTGAACCACCCAGCTCATGTTTTTCTAACCTGTACATTTAAATCTAAGAAAACCATTAAAATGTCAGTAAGTCCACATCAGGATTGCTTTACTTATAAATCCAAATACTCATTCTGCTAGCTTGATAAAGGACAGAGTAGTTGCTCCCAGGAGTAAGCTTACTTCTTACAAATGAAGGCTTGGAGTAAGTTTTCTCAGAAGACAGTTTTTCCTGGGCCTTCTTCTGAAGCAGTTGTTCCAAGCCAATATTTGAGGTCTCCTTACAGGAAACCACCGATGTACATGAACAAGATAGAGTCAGTAATCTACAGTCAGCAATAAAGGCAATGGTTCATTCAAAACAAACGTCAGCTCTGGACACATGCCTTTTATTACCTCAGATACTCACATTATGATATTTGAAAGAGAAAACTGATGTGTATAGACAGAGTGAATGCAAATGAAAGAGAGTGGGTGTAAATAAATAGTGATTTTATATTTTGTTCTGTTTAATTTTACCGTTTCAGAGGGAACTTTGAAAGTTTACTTAGCACACCTTACAAATCAGGACCACCATGTGAAGACTGTCCTACAGCTTGTGATAATGGACTATGCAGTAAGTTTTGAAAGTTCAACATCTCACAGTGGAAAAGTCATTGTTTATTAGCACAGTGTTTAATTCCCATGAACGGAGGGAGTTTTGAAATTGCCAACTCCAAAAGCAGATGCAAAAGGCCAGGCTGTGAGCTTGTTGCACATGACATGTAGGATCTCATATCCTTATTGTTATGGTCTCTTATTTGCATGATGCTAGAAGTTACATGATGGACCAGTGTGCTAAGTAGTAGACAAGTAGCAGGAATAGTCCCATTTAAATCAATGGAGCATTCGATAGGCAAAGAAAGGTATGAGTTTGTGAAAATGTTAAAGTGAACTACAAAGGCAAAATCTATGGGAAGAGCATGGAAGGCACTTTCCACTTCATCTCCTCTCACAAGTGTGCAATAAAGTTATTAATTCAGCCCACATGTTCCATGCAGACTTTATGTATCTCTTTGTTATGGATACCAGCCCTTCAGTTCATAGAAAGGCTGGTTCTCAATGAATGGAAAATTCACTCATGATGGCCAACTATACTGCAAGTAGATTCATTGACATCAGTGAAACTAATGACATGTTTGCATCCCTTCCCTAGAATCGTATCCATGAAGTTCACAATGCTTTCTGCCTCCTCAGAAAGCATCGTGAACTTCTTTTCCATTGTCCTACATGATAGCTTGTTACAGACATTTGCTAATAACCAAAGCTGCTTAAACTCCTCATCTAATGGTTATATAGTGTTTTTAAAAACATGTGCTTATGATGCATTGTCTTAATGTATTTTCCAAAAGCATAAAGTGTAAGACTGTGGGTTTAGATCTACTAAGGAAGTTAGGAGCTTCCATAGGAATTGTATCTGAGAAGCAGTGAAGGTTTTATAACATCCTTTCAGCATGCAGAGAGAGAGAGAAACAGTGAGATCATATGCAGCCATTGTCCAGTTCTCCCTGACCCCCCTCCACATTGCTGCTGTGCCCTAGGGTGCTGTGAGATCCTGTTAAGGGTGCTGCAGCATGCTGCACTGTTAGGTGTGCAAGCACCTACATGATATGACAAATAGATCCAAGGAAGTGATACTTCCCCTCTGTGTGGCATTGGTCAGACTGCAGTTGGAGTACTGCATCCAGTTTCGGGTGCTGTACTTCAAGAAAGATGTTGATAGACTTGAGAGGGTCCAGAGGAAGCCACTCATATGGTTAGGGGCTTACCAGACCATCCCTATGAAGAAAGACTGAGGGACCTGGACCTCTTCAGCCTCCGCAAGAGAAGGCTGAGAGATGACCTTGTGGCCGCCTACAAATTCGTTGGCGGACGCAGTAAGGGATCAGAGATGCTCTGTTCACCAGGGCACCTCTTGGGGTAACAAGGAACAATGGTCACAAACTGACAGAGAGCAGATTTAGGTTAGATATCAGGAAAAACTTCTTCATGGTAAGGATGGCCAAAATTTAGAATGGGCTTCCAAGGGAGGTGGTGCTCCTCCCAACCTTGGGGGTCTTTAAGAGAGGGATAGACAATCATCCGGCTTGGGCCAGATGACCCCAGCACTCTT